ATACTAGCAGATGTCTATATTTCTGTGTTACTTTCAATTTTCTGCCATGTAGTTTTTGTTTGTTTGTTTGTTTTTTGAGATTGAGTCTCACTCTTGTTGTCCAGGCTGGAGTGCAATGGCACGATCTTGGCTCACTGCAACCTCCACCTCCTGGTTCCAAGCAATTTTCCTGCCTCAGCCTTCCAAGTAGCTGGGGTTACAGGCATACGCCACCACGCCCAGCTAATTTAGTATTTTTAGTAGAGATGGAGTTTCACCACGTTGGTCAGGCTGGTCTTGAACTCCTGACCTCTGGAGATCCGCCCGCCTCAGCCTCCCAAAGTGCTGAGATTACAGGCATGAGCCAACAAACCTGGCACATATAGTTATTTCTTATCTCAGCTTAGTTATATTGAGCAAATGTTTGTGGACTAGATGTGCAGAACATTTGCTAGGCCTTGGAGATACTGACATTTTAAAACAATTTCTACTTACAGTATTTTGCAATGTTAGCAGTCTCCACTTTACTCCTTTATGTTGTGATTGCAACCTTCTTGCAACTTCTCTATGGGCTTAAAATAGCTTGTCCATAGGCAGTGTTCATTAGTGTGGGAAATTAGTTGAACTGAATTGATAACCAATCTAGAATCTGCTTTCGAAATTTTTTCCACTCTTTGTCAATCCAATCTACATCTACCCAGGAGTATCCTGTAAGTAGTGGTGGCAGGTTTTTCTGAGGTGGGCAGTCTATCCAAACCTACCACAAAGTCGGAGGAAGCTGAGAAGTCAAAGAAAGAGGCTGGCAAATCCAATTTCTTAGAAGGAAACATTTAATAGAGACTTATGAACAGAAGCCATGTCTATGTCACCAGAGGCAGTGAAAAAAGATGGCAGATCCCCACACTATTACTTCCTAGGCCCAGGGTTTATATACCAGAGGTGAGGGGCAAGTTGGCTTCAGAGAGAATGGGTAGGAATTTTCCCTGACGGCAAGATTGATGGTAAGTATTTGCTCTCACATAAGGGACAGTAGATGAACTGGGCATCTCAGAGGCATTCCCAGAACTGAGGTTAATCTGAAGTCAACATGGCAGATTACCCTCCAAGATGGAGCTACTTTGACCTCCCATCTAAGATGATGTTGTTTTGGCCTTCACATACTGTTCTTTTTTTGACATTGAAGCTAAGAGGCAATTAGCCCAAGAAAATATTTGTAAATCATATATCTGATAAGGGGCTTGTATTCAGAACACATAAAGAACTTTTGCAACTCAGTAATGAAAAGACCAATAGCTCAATGAAAAAATGGGTGTGCTAGTGGCTGGACTCTGTGGCTCACACCTGTAATCCCAACACTTTAGGGAGGCCGAGGCATCAGGATCACTTGAGCCCAGGAGTTCAAGACCAGCCTGGGCAACACAGTGAGACTCCGTATCCCCCCCCCAATCACTACCAGAAAAAAACAAAAAATAGCCAGGGGTAGTGGCGCATGCCTGTGGTCGTAGCTACATGGAAGGCTGAAGTGGGAGGATTGCTTGAGCCTGGTAGGTTGAGGCTGCACTGAGCTGTGATAACGCCATTGCACTCCAGGCTGGGTGACAGTGAGACCATGTTTCTAAACAAAAAAAAATTTTTTTTTTGAGACGGAGTCTCGCTCTGTCACCCAGGCTGGAGTGCAGTGGCGCTATCTCGGCTCACTGTAAGCTCCGCCTCCCAGGTTCATGCCATTCTCCTGCCTCAGCCTCCTGAGTAGCTGGGACTACAGGCACCCGTCACCACGCCCAGCTAACTTTTTTGTATTTTTAGTAGAGACGGGGTTTCACCGTGTTAGCCAGGATGGTCTTGATCTCCTAACCTCATGATCCACCTGCCTCAGCCTCCCTAAGTGCTGAGATTACAGGCGCGAGCCACTGCACCCAGCCAAAAAAAATTTTTTAATGGGGAAGAACCTGAATAGTTTTCCAAAGAAGATATATGAATTGCCAATAACCTAACAAAAAGATGCAACATCATTAGTCATTAGGGAAATGCAAATAAACATTACGAGATACCACTTCACACCTAAAAGGATGGCTGTAATTTTTAAAAATGGACATTAACAAATTGTAGTATAATATGAAATACTTTTGGTCTTTGTCCCCAGTTCCTGTCACAGAGGACCTAAAACCTTTGGCATTTTCTATCTGGGTCGGGGCTCCGAGATAGCCTCAGGATGGGACTGGTCGCCAGAAAGACTAAGTGATTAGAGGGTTGAAACTTTCAGCTCTACCCACCAAACTCTGGAAAAGGCATCAGGGGATTTTATAGCCCATTGGTCAGAAGTGTAGGTGACAACCTACTTGGATTGGTGTTGGAAGTTGGGGACAATCTTGTGGGACACCCAGTTGGTGTTCACTAGAGAAGTTGGTGTGTCAGGAAATACCTTTACATATCCGGTCACAGAAGTGTCTGGTGTTGAGTCTGTGAGTAGAGAGAAAAAAAACTGTTTTTCCTCCTCACATAAGTGTAGGCAAGGATGTGGAGAAATTCTCATATATTGCTGGTGAGAATACAAAATGGTAAACACTGTGGAAAACAGTTTGGCAATATACAAAACATTAAACATACAGTTATTATTTGACCCACCTGTTCCTAGGTATATAACCAAGAGAAATTAAAATAAATATACATCTCTGTAAAACCATGTACACTTGGCCCTCTACATCCATGAAGTCCACATCCTTGCCTTCAACCATGGATCAAAAATATTTCGGGGAAAAAGATAAAAAATAATATCCTGAAAGCTGATGGGGCATTAAAAATGATGCAGTAAACAGTAATAAAAAATTAAAAATACAATATACAACTATTTACATAGCATTTACATTGTATGAGGTATTATACGTAATCTAGAGATGATTTACGGTAGACCAAAGTTTATGTGTAGTTTATATGCAAATACTAAGGGACTTGAGTATCCTTGGCTTTTAGTATCCATGGTGGTCTTAGAACCAGTTCCCCACAGATACCAAGCAACAACTGGACATGAATGTACATAGCAGATTATCCATAATAGCCAAAAAGTGCAAACAACCCAAATGTTTGTCAACCAATGAACAGATAAAGAAAATGTGATACAGTCATAGGATGGAACATTATTCAACAATAAAAAGGAAAAAAAGGCCGGGTGTGGTGGCTCACATCTATAATCTCAGCACTTTGGGAGGCTGAGGCGGGCAGATTACTTGAGGTCAGGAGTTCAAGACCAGCCTGACCAACATGGTGAAACCCTGTCTCTACTAAAAATAAAAAAATTAGTTGGGCGTGGTGGCACATACCTACTTGGGAGGCTGAGGTAGGAGAATGGCTTGAACCCAGGAGGTGGAGGTTGCAGTGAGCCAAGATTGCAATATTGCACTCCAGCCTGAGTGACAGAGTGAGACCCCCATCTCAAAAAAAAAAAAAAAAAAAAAAAAGAATAAGGTACTGATGCATGCTATGACATGGAAGAACCTTGAAACATTATGCTAAGTAAAAGAAACCAGTTTCAAAAGACCACATATTGTGTGCTTCCATTTGTATGAAATGCTCAGAATAGGAAAATCTGTAGACACAGGAGGTAGATTCATGGTTGTCTAGGCTGAAGACTGTGGGAGTTTGGGCAGAAATAGGGAGTAAATATTCATGGATACTGGATTTGAGGGGAGTGATGAAAATGTTCTAAAATTGATTGTGGTTGTTCACTGTTTATGTATAGAAATGCTGCTGATTTTTGTATGTTGGTTTTGTATCCTGCAACTTTACTGAATTTACTAATCAATTCTAACAGTTTTTTGGTGGAGTCTTTAGGTTTTTCTAATATAAGATACTATGATCTGCAAACAAGGATAATTTGACTTCTTCCTTTCTCATTTGGATCTCCTTCATTTCTTTGTCTGGTCTAATTGCTCTAGCTAGAACTTCCAGTACTATGTTGAATGACAGTGGTGAAAGTGGGCATCTTTGTCATATTCCAGATTTTATAGGGAAGGCTTTCAGTATTTTTCTCCATTCAGTATGATGCTAGCCATGAGTCTGTCATATACGGCTTTTATTGTGTTGTGGTATGTTCCTTCTATACCCAGTTTTTTGATTTTTTTTTATCATGAAGAGATGCTGAACTTTACCAAATTCTTTTTCAATATCAATTGAAATGATCATATCGTTTTTGTCCTTCATTCTCATTGTTGTTGCTGTTTTGGGGACAGGGTCTCACTCTGTTGCCCAGGCTTAAGTGCAGTGGTGCAGTCTTGGCTCATAGCAATCTCTGCCTCCTGGGCTCAAGCAATCCTCCCACCTTAGTCTCCTGAGTAGCTGAGACTACTGGCATGTGCCACCACACTTGGCTAATTTATTAATTTTTTGTAGAGACAAGGTCTCCCTATATTTCCAAGGCTGGTCTCAAACTCAGAGATCCTTCTGCCTCAGCCTCCCCAAGTGTGTGCTTGGATTATAGACATGAGCCACCACACCACGCATTTTCCTTCATTCTCTAGATATGATGCATCACATTGATTGAGTAGCATATGTTGAACCATTCTTGGATCCGTGGGATAAATCCCACTTGGTCTTGATGAATGACCTTTTTAATGTGTTGTTGAATTTGGTTTGCTGTAACGGTATTTTGTTGAGAATTTTTGCACCTACATTCATCAGAGATATTAACCTGTTGTTTTCTTTTCTTGATGTGTTTTTGTCTGGTTTTGGTATCAGGGTAATACCAACCTTGTAGAATAAGTTTGGAAGTATTCCTTCCTCCTCTATTTTTTAGAATAGTTTGAGTAGGATTAGGTATTTTTTTTTAAAAAAAA